TTTTAGTATCATATTTTCCATCATCTATTAAAACAATTCTCAGTAAAATTTCTATATTTTTTTTTTTTAATCAATTCACCCCAGGGAAGGTGATAATACCACTAAGACACCAGGGGCTAATCCAAATGAAAGATAATCCAAATACTTTAGAAGAAACTGGAAACCCATCCTAAATCAGAAACAAGGGATAAACCTCTACTCCTGTTCAAAAGATGGTAAAGATGGTAGGACTGTGAACCAGACAATATATCACACATATCTACTAGATATAAATAGTACTTTCTTCTTATGTGCTATGTTCTTTTAGAACATCGGCAATCATGGCTCTCCACCTCTTCCTCTATCCCTTTCAGCTCTCAACAAGTTCCTTCCCTCTGCTACCTCCCCTAGACCATGTTCTGTCAACCACTTGCTTAAGCCCCCTAGGTATATCAGGCATCGTTTTCCCTTGTCTCTCTTTCCCTCTATTCGACCTGTGAGTATCAGATTCTCCAGGCCCTCCTTCCTCATTATGTATCCCAGAAACTTCAGCTTAGAGGCTGTAATCAATTTTAAATTATCTAAGCAATATGGCTTTCACTTCTCTAGGTCAACTGCTGCTGTGTTAATACTTATTTCTGAAAGAGTTTATTAAGCTTTAGATAAAGGATAAACTCCAAGTTTTAGTTCCTGTATGTCACTGAAGGACAGCAAATTATGTTTGAAAATTGTTTAAAATTACCCTTTTTTTTTTTTTCTTTCAGGTTTTGTGGTTGGTCAAGTTGGAATCCTGCTTGCATTGTGTCAGTTTGTCATTGCCTATATGATTCTTGGCTTTACGGTCTTGTCCCTGTGTGCAATTTCAACCAATGGACTCGTCGAAGGAGGTGGAGTATATTGTATCCTTGCAGCAATTTTGGAGCCAATTAAATTCTTTCACAGTCTTACATTCTCTAATTGGTCCAAAATGTGTACACAGCATGTAAATTCCTATATGGTTGGATTTGTCTCATTAAACAAAAATAAAAATGTTCAATCATGCAGATCAAGCTTTAAAGTATATACTGTCTTCATTGGGCCAATCCTCTTTTGCCTGCTTGCATTTGTTCTTAATTTCTTTCTGCAATGTCCTATATTATGTGCCATATCTTGGCATTGTTTGCAGTTTCCTTTTCATCATGTCAAAAATTTCATGTCATCCATTCCTTTTTTTAACTTACAGCCATATCATGTTGAAACACTGGTTATCATATGATCACCAAAGTAACCCTGAACCTGGTCTGTATCTTGATGGGTGACTGCTTGGGAATGACAGGTGCTGTAACCCCTACCTACCTGTAATGGCATTTACCTGAAGTGGGTTGAGCCGGCTCCAATATTGGAGTTTCATGGGAATTTGGAATTTACAAGCAGTCCCCAACCCGCATGTATAGCTCATGAGATTTGATTATAGTCGTGAAGGTTTCGTGCAGGGCCAGCCACACTTTTTGAAGGGCCAAAAGGAGAGACCTGGTGCACTACATGCCACATGGTCCCCAAACGACCCTCCGCAGGTTTTGAATTCAGAGTTGTCCTTCTCGTAGACCAGTTGCCACCCAAGGTTATAGAACCAAGTCTGTCCTGCTATTTACCCATAGCTGGAGGGAGAAGAAGAGGATTCACACCTTTCCCAAGGGTATTAGCATGTAAGTGAATGTAATGGATTTGACTGGAATTCAAACTCGGCTCTCCGATTCCTCAATCCAAGCTGCTATCCATTACTCCACTGTGCCTCCTGCTGTAAGCTTGGATGTGAAGGTGGTGTAATGGCTAATGGCTTGGAATATTAATCGGAGTGGCGAGTTTCAATTTCAACCAGGTTTGTTATATATAAATATGCACAAATACCCTTGGGAAATATATGAATACATCTCTTCCCCCCCAGCTATGCCTTGTATCAGCAAATCATTATTATTTCCAAAAAAGTTTGTATAATCTAAAATGTTTTCTGGATTCAAATAACCTACAAAAGGTTGATAAGCCATAAAAAACAAATCAATGAATCAACTATTTATTTTTTCCTTGTCTAGTTTTCTTTGGTGAATATATGATTGTAATGGATAGCAAATCAGATTGAGGAATTAAAGAACCAAGCTCAAATTTGAATCAAATTCGTTGCATTCATTGAAACAAGATCTCAAAATATAAACATGGTAAATTGAATGAATTCTGAAATGCAAACAGTTTATAGAGGTCTGTTGATGTTTTTTAAACTGTCCTTAACTTGTCTATACATGATCAGTCGAGCCCTTGGTCCTGAATTTGGTGGCAGCATTGGTGTTCTTTTTTTCTTTGCCAATGTCTTCTGCTGTGCCCTCTATATCAGTGGAGTGGTTGAAGGATTGCTTGAAAATTTCGGACCAGGAGGTAAGTTTATTTCCATTTCATATTTGCTTATGTATTTATCATTTGGTCAATTAATTTAGGTCTCCCATTGTTGGATCTAACTTTTCATTTCCGACCTCATGAATATTGACTAGAAATTTGGGAACCCAAGAATATATGAAAAGTTTCAGCTGACATTCTTACATCGTGATAGAAAATGAACGAACAATGGTTAATTTGTGAGTTAATGTTAGAGTTCTCTGAGTAATAATGAAACTTTAGTCCCCAAACTAATGACTAATCTTAGGTGTGTTTGAACTAATAATGTTCATTTTTGTTTTGTTTTGGCTAATTTAGGTACATGCTTATAAAATATATATTTTTAACTGTTGTTAATCAGTCTATTTAGAACTGTTTTTAACCATTCACCAGACTAGCTGTTACCCTTTTCCAAAAACCCATCAGCCTAGTTGTTACCCTTTTCCAACCACCTATCAGTCTATCTGTTACCCTTTTCCAACCACCTATCAGTCTATCTGTTACCCTTTCCAAACAACCATCAGTCTAGCTGTGACCCTTTTGCAACCACCCATCAGTCTAGCTGTTACCCTATTCCATCCACCCATCAGTCTAGCTGTTACCCTTTTCCATCCACCCATCAGTCTAGCTGTTACCCTTTTCCATCCACCCATCAGTCTAGCTGTTACCCTTTTCCAACCACCCATCAGTCTATCTGTTACTTTTCCAAACAACCATCAGTCCATCCACCCATCAGTCTAGCTGTTACCCTTTTCCAACCACCTATCAGTCTAGCTGTTACCCTTTCCAAAGAACCATCAGTCTAGCTGTGACCCTTTTGCAACCACCCATCAGTCTAGCTGTGACCCTTTTGCAACCACCCATCAGTCTAGCTGTGACCCTTTTGCAACCACCCATCAGTCTAGCTGTGACCCTTTTGCAACCACCCATCAGTCTAGATGTTACCCTTTTGCAACCACCCATCAGTCTAGCTGTTACCCTTTTCCAACCACCCATCACTCTAGCTGTTACCCTTTCCAAACAACCATCAGTCTTTTGTGACCCTTCCAACCACCCATCAATGTAGCTATTACCCTTTTCCAACCACCCATCAGTCTAGCTGTGACCCTTTTGCAACCACCCATCAGTCTAGATGTTACCCTTTTCCAAAAATTCATCAGACTAGCTGTTACCATTTTCCAGCTACTCATCAGTCTTGCGGTTGCCCTTTTCCAACCACCCATCAGTCTAGCGGTTGCCCTTTTCCAACCACCCATCAGTCTAGTTTTTACCCTTTTCCAAAAACCCATCAGTCTAGTTGTTACCCTTTTCCAAACACAGAACTAGCTGCTACCCTTGTTTTGTTTTTTTTCTGGAAACCTGCTGTGCACCTGCCCTCCTTCCGTCCACGCCTACATATGCAAGCAAATGCAGAATCCAACTTTATCTCTTACACCTCTCTCTCCCTTTCTCATAGGCATATAATCTTTCTCCCCATTCCACAAGCTCTCTTTTAATAGTGTACCCACCCACCCATACACCCACACAGTATAAGAATAAACAAATCTGAATAGTCAAGTGCATTTCAGTGACCCTTTCAAATATTGTAAACAATTGGCTGACCTAGAAGTGCCCTGAAGGTTGTGAAAAGCAAGGAAATGTTGGAGTTTGTTTGAAACAAAACATTAATAAAGCAACCCAGACAGAAATTACATCTGCCTTGCCCTAAATAATAGACAGTTTTAAAAAGAGGAAAAGAAAAAGTATCTGCCATAAAAATTTAGTTTGAAAATATCTTTTGCATTTTCTTTGTTTCAATAACTCTCTTCTTTAAACTGAAGCATTGATTGTTCATTGAAGCAGGAAATCTTTTTAGAAATCTTTTTTTTTTAAATAGACTAGTAGTTCCCATCATAGTGAGGTACCAATAATTATATAGGAAAATTATTGGTAATGCTTTTACATTATTCGTACAATAGCTAGATTTAGTTACTAGTTCTTGTATTAATTCCTGACCACTAACAGTCCCTTTCTTCCTGATTTTCAATGCATGTCTGTCGTAAAATAATAAAAAAAATACATTTGCCTCATTCCTATAATAGTTTGATTCTGTCAGTAATTATTGTATTAATTCCTGACCACTGACAATCCATTTCTTTCTACTACAGATATTGGATATGCTTAACAGACAGAGATGAGTAATAATAATAACTAAATATTTCTACTTACTCTGGATGACCCAACTAAATCAACATATGGATAACACTAATCAAAAATCAACTAAAAATGGACTCCTAGAGGTCAAAAGGTCATCATGGCAGTCAGGGTAATACTGACTGGATAACATGCCAATGAAAAAAAAAAACATCCTAAACGCTTGTGGGGAGAGGTGTACATACACCCTTGAATTAGAATTTTCAATTTTCTCAAGAAGCTGATTGAAAAAGAACACTGGATGATATTCAGTTAAAATATTGTAGAGCACCCCACCCCTGGCAGCAACAAAGCTGAAGCACTCAGTCTGGGATGGGTGGAGGAACACACACAATGATTATTCTTGAATAATTCTATCCGTATTTATAATGCTAATCAACAAACTCAGGGCCGCAAAGTTTAACCAACGTGCAAAAGAAACTGGTTTCAAAAAGGACATTTTTTTCTGTTAACACAGGAAATTATCAAAATATGTGAACAATTACAAAGCAATATTTATTATTTACCAGTTTAATATTTATTAACAATTATAACAAAAACATGTTATAAAACGCTACATAAATGCAGTCATGTTTCAGCACTATAGGTGCACTTCTTCAGGCAATGGTCATTAACTGGCCAGTTAACAACCATTCTTTTATTAATATACAAAAAAATAAAATTTATACGTACAATACAAAGAAAGTTATAATAATTTTTAAAAAGTAGGTGTTTATGTTTGTATGTACTCCAAAAAATGCAGTGCCAGAGGAAACAATTCTAAAAAGAATTTAGCATGTAAAAGGTAAAACTTTGCCCTTGTGTCTTTAGAATTTTGCAATTTTATTTGCAATTTTATTTTTATTAAATGCAGGGTGTGTGTGTGTGTGTATAACAAATGCACAGCCGCAATTTTCGACGGATTTGCACCACAATTTACATACACATGCTCCAAGTTAGCGGGAAGGCCAAGAGTGACTTTGAATTTCCCAACTCCCATCGATAGTGGAAATAATTGATTTTTTTCATGCTTCTACGGCAGTTTTAATGTAGTTTGCAGCCATTTCCTACTGGCCAGAGTGAGAGCCTATAGCTGGCTGCCACAAATAGGCAGGAAGATTCTATTGGCCAGCATGAGAGCCAACAGCTGACTGACACGAATGTTAACTAGCGTGCTAGCATGCAAAAAAAATCGATAGCTACATTTGTCACAAGTGGTAAAAATTTAAATCTGCATGGCACTTTACTCCAATTGGCTCATTCACTTGCTTAAACTCTCCGTTGATTCTGATTCGGCAGAACTGGGTTGGGTGTGAAAAAGTATTTGTTGTTAACATTCTTTTTTCATTTGGTTTTTCCAGTTACGAGTCCTTTTTTAAAGCTGATCGTTTTGTGTTCATTTTGTTTAGTTCTTTTCTCATAACAGATTTAATGTTTAGTATAGAGCTTAGAAAAAATTTGCGTAAGATAGGCAAGAAGTAAGGCATGTAGAAACATCAGCATGGCAAAGGGCACTCCTTTAAAGGCAAGGAAGGGCAAAAATATTTTAAGTCAAGTGATAGCGATTGCTGTATGAGTCGTAGAGTTTTTGATTCAAGCACGGGCAACGCCAGGCCATGCTGATAGTATCTAAGATATGCAAAGATTATAAACACATACAGGTCTAATGACTGTTAAATCTATAAAAATACCCCCCACCAAGAAAAAACTTCTGTATTTTCTTATGTTTGGGCCCATCTATTTAAGTAGTGTCAAATGAAGATACTTACATGAACACTTATTGGTTAATGTAAGTAACTTGCAGGAGAATTTCAGACTTGTTCTATTTTAGGAAAACATAATTAAAAATAAGTTATATTATTCAAATAATTTTTCATTTGTTTTTTTTTATATATATTTTTTAGGTTCATTTGTAAGCAATTCGACGTTTTATCTTCCATATGTTGATGGCAATCATTGGTACCACTATATGTACGCATCACTATGCCTTTTTATCTGTCTCGTCATTTGTTTAATTGGGGGAGCTATGTTTGCCAGGACATCTGCCTTTGTCTTGCTTGTGAGTAAAAAAATATTTTCATACTATTCATGTCAATTTTTATTTGATACAAATATTGCCAACCATTCTTATTTTTGAAGTGTAAATCTTTTATTTTGATTCCAATTGCTTTTTATTACAACTGCTTACATTATCTTGTTATTTTATGAGATGAACCACTTGTCAACCATTATTCACTTTTGACTCTTATTTCTTATATATATATATATATATATATATATATATGATATATTTTTTTTATGTTTATACATTCTTTTTATCAATACAAATCTGGTGCTCAATCGGTAAAAGCACGTCAGGCTATATGATGGTTCTGTATAGGATACAGGTTCGATTCCTGTCAGAGGACGCATATTTTCTATGAAAATTTCTCGCACATTCAGGCCAGTAAATGTTGTTAATACTGTTTATTATAAACAGAACATTTACTTAAATATTTGTATCTATAAAAAGAATGTATAAACATTAAAAAAAAATGTCTTAAAATAAATGTCAGACTTTGTCCATTTCATTATATATATATATATATATATATATATATATATATATATGTATGTATATATACAGGGTTATTCAAAAAGAATGAACTGATTTCATTATGCAATATTTTAATAAGGAAAAGCAATAGAAAATTCAAGGAAAGTCACAAGTATTCTACTTAGAATCAACTTTTATTTCCTGTCTTACAAGTGTTCAATGTGGCCACCACATGCAGCACAGGCAACATCAAAGGTGTGTATCAGTATATCACAATCCACTTGATCGCTGTTGTTATTCGATATTTAAGGTCATTGAGATTAGTGGGTAGTGGTGGAATATTAACGCCATCTTTTATGTATCCCAACAAAAATAAATCACACACAGTGAGGTCTGGGGATCTTGCAGGCTAAGAGGAAAAGAAAAAGTATCTGCCATAAAAATTTAGTTTGAAAATATCTTTTGCATTTTCTTTGTTTCAATAACTCTCTTCTTTAAACTGAAGCATTGATTGTTCATTGAAGCAGGAAATCTTTTTGAAATCTTTTTTTTTTAAATAGACTAGTAGTTCCCATCATAGTGAGGTACCAATAATTATATAGGAAAATTATTGGTAATGCTTTTACATTATTCGTACAATAGCTAGATTTAGTTACTAGTTCTTGTATTAATTCCTGACCACTAACAGTCCCTTTCTTCCTGATTTTCAATGCATGTCTGTCGTAAAATAATAAAAAAATACATTTGCCTCATTCCTATAATAGTTTGATTCTGTCAGTAATTATTGTATTAATTCCTGACCACTGACAATCCCTTTCTAAGCACAAAGAGCAAGGTCTTGGTAAGTGCCTGAATGAGGCATAGTCTGTAAGGTTTCAAATGTCGACATCCTCTTAGCACATGCCAGATAGTGGATTGAGAGATAGCAAGCTCATGGCTAGCTTGTGAACTACCATGGGCTCCCCTCAAATGCAGTACAGATTTTCGCTACTTGCTTCTCCAAAACTTGTGGTCATCCTTTTTCCTTTACATAGACACTCATTCTCTTGAAACTGTTTAAACCACTGTCGAATGTTCTTCAGAGAGGGGGGATTAATGTCAAATTGCCTTCAAAAAGCACACTGCACCATGACAACAGTATTTGTTTTCACAAACTCAAGAATGCAGAACACCTTTTCCTGAGGACTCACCATTCCAGGAGTAAACAAATAACTGAATGTTGCTGGAGATATGACATGACTACAGTGCTCTGTGACAGCCATTCAAAACTTAGAAAACGCCTCTTTCAAATGGTCACTGACTCATTCCATGATGATGTTTGAGAATGGAAGCAATGTGTCATGAAATCGGTTCATTCTTTTTGATTAACCCTGTATGTTAAGTTCAATTGTTTTTCATTTGATCAGACCATAATTCTATTATTATTATTATAAGATGAAGCATTGGCAACAATTAATTTTAATGAATACTTGTTTAATTATAATTAGAGCTGCTTTTTGTTGCAACAGCTCAGACCACTATTATTTTATTTTACTATTAGATACAATGTTTTCAAAAATTACAATTTTTGACTAGTATTTCTTTTTTTAATTTCAGTTACTTTTCATTGCAACTACTTAGACCTTCATTTCATTATTTTTATTATTACATGAATCATTATTAATGTTCAGTAATTTTCAACTAATATTTGTTTCATCTTAATTTCAGATGCTTTTTATCGCAGTTGCACAAACTGCCATTTTATTATTAGATGAAGCATTGTTGACATTCATCAATTTTCTACCTTTCATCTTAATTTTAGTTACTTTTTATTGCAACTACTCAGACCTCCATTTTATTATTATTTCATTATTAGATGAAGCATTGTTGATATTCTAGAATTATTTTCTTTTATTTCAATTTCAATTTCTTTTTATTGCAACTGCATAGTCCACCATTTTATGGTCGTTGTTAATTAAAAACTTTGTTCAGAGATGAAGAATTAATGTCTGACATTTTAGATAAAGTCTTTTGTAGTTCCTGTAAATTTTATGAAGATATATTCATAATTCTTTAATTCTTTTTGTTTTTCCTCTAGATCGTCTTTTTTTGCACATTGACGGTCATCATCAGCTTCTTTGTAAAACATCCTCTCCCAGTCGAAATACCCCATCGGAACACGTTAGTTTATCCGTCTACGAATATATCGACGAAAACTGGCAATTATACGGGTTTATCTGCAACAACGTTCCAGAAAAATTTGTATCGTGAGTAAATTTTGTTTTTGCTTTGCACACAAAAAAAAATGCTCATTTTCCCAAAATATTCCTCTTCTTCTATGTGCCGTATCCCTTCAGTACATAGGCGATCATGGACATCCACAACTTTCTTTCTCGTATGGCTCTTAACAGGTTTTCTCCCTTTGCTAAGGCACTTGTTCTGCCATCCATTCATACAAGCTCATCATGTAAGTGGCTCGCCAATTGCCCCCTGTATCTTTTGTCCTCAATATGCCCTGTGAGAGTTAAGTTTTCCCAGCCCTCCTTCCTCAATACGTGTCGAAGAAATTTCTCCAGTCTTTTTCTTATTCTCAGTATAAATGTTCTTTCTGTTGTCATTTTCTTTAAGACTTCCTTGTTGGTTACTCACCCCAGTAAGTTGGTAAAAAGTGACAAAGAAGAAAGAGAGAGAGAAAGAGGGAGCAAGAGAGAGGGGGTGAGACAAGAGTGAGAGAGATAAGAGAGACACAAAGTGAGATCTTAGAATGACTTAAAAAGTGTGAAATAAAGTGAGAGTGATAAAGAAAGCAAGATTAAGAGAGAGAGAGGAGTTAGAATGGCTTCTTCTATGTGCTGCCTCCCTTCAGGATACAGGCGATCATGGCTCTCCAAAACATCCCTTGTAGCAGTTTTTTCTTCCTTCTTTGCTAAGTACCCTCACCCACGACACACATTATGCTATCCATTTACATTGGATGTCAGTTATTAGTTATCTCCTGTTAATTCCCCTCTCCAAGTTCTCCACTACCTTAACCAGGTATTGAACTCACACTCTTTGGGTCCTGTCACTGGATCTAACTAACACCTTTATCCACTGTGCCATGTGTCCTTGAGGAGATAATTGATAACTGACATCCATTAAACATGGCACGTGGAACTAGAACAGTCTACACCAGTGAGCGAAATAAATGGTTCAGTTTGACATTCCAACCAACTGAAGAAGGCCGGAGCGCACAAACGGTCAAAACATCCCTTATATATATATATATATATATATATATATATATATATATATATATATATATATATATTTTTAATGTGCATTAAGGTCTGTTGTAATTGAGAATGGTCATGTAAAGTAACTGCATAATAGTAGTTAGTACCAAATGTAGTTATAAATGTAAGCAAACATACCAGTTGTTTGACCAAAAGACAGCTGTTTGTATTCTGGCATGTCTTTTTGCCTACCAAATGGTGTTGTCTACTTATCATTTATACTTTGGTCAACCTATGAACTTTCCATCTGACCCTTATAAGTGAATGGAATAAAGCTTGTATTCGACCTCTGCACTCTGATTACTTCTATGGCGCAGTTCATTACCCGCACAAACATCCACAGAATCAGTAAATTGATTTGTCAATCAAATTTGTTAGTTCGTGTTTCATAAATAAAATAATGTAGACAAGCATCAAAAATTGCAAGTTATTGTTTTCTCCTTTTTCATCATTGTTTGTTTTTATTTTCTTTTTTTCTTCCAGCTGACTATGTGGTTGATTACAGTACCTTAAAGCTGATGACATTTGCATCTGTCTTCTCAATCTTATTCAGTAGTGTGACAGGAATTATGAACGGGTCGAACATGTCTGGTAAACAACTATTTATTTTTTTTAAATGTTTCTTTTTTCCCTATATTTCTTATCACAAAAATTCCTATTCTCTGAAACCTTTGACAGAAAAGAATCAGATAACATCATTAAAAGTTAATAACTCAAATCAGATATTATTAAAAAAAATTATTATATATATTATTAAAAAAAGTCGACATATTAAACTAATTTAACATACACCCTCTTAGCATCAGTTTAAACTAACGGCTTCTTTTGTTACCATACATTGTAACCATTCTCTTAAACTTTATATTTTCTCAAAAAAAACCTTTTCCAATGAAAATTTGTATATTCTCCAACATATTTTAGAGAAAATTTCACTTCCCCAAATTATTGTTTATAATTTAGATATATGGTGGAAAAAGAAGGCATGTTTTTAATGTGACACCAGAAAGATATGAATTAAAATGATGCCATCTTTTTTCTAGATATTGTGTCCATTTTGATTAAAGTTTAAATTTTTTTGATTTCAAATAAAACCATAGAAACTTTCCAATATATTTCAGTGAAATTTTCACTTTACAAAATTATTGTTCATAATTATAGTTGAGATAAAAAAAAAAGATGTCAGCTTGGCCTGATGCTAGGTAAGATATGGCTGCATTAATTGAATACATTTTGAGAAGAGTCATTATCATTCCAAGAGTTGGTCAGACTACCATTTATTATATCCTTGTCATTGATTATGTTGTGGCCATATTATTTTTGCTGATCCCATCGACTGCTTCAATCAGGTTTACAATCTGTGATGAAATGGATGAGCCCTATTTTTTCTCTATTTACTGAAAATGTCGATTAAAAGGAGAGCATTCTCTTTTCTCGTAGATTGAAGAAGACTGTAGAATTAATTAACTGAAGCATTTTGATAACAAGAAAAGCAATGCAAAGAAAGTATTGAATCATTTGAGTGATTCATGGCTGGGGATGAAATGACATGCTTTATGGCTAAAACACAGATATTGTCATCTTCTGGAAAACTGTAATTCTTTTTTTCTTTTATGATGAGTGCTTCTGATTAAGCCATAAAATTTGACAGCATTTTGCAAAGATGGATTTGATTTGATGAACATGTTTTTTTTTGTTTTGTTTTTTCTGCAGGTGAGCTAAAGGATCCAAGCCGTTCCATTCCATATGGGACGTTAGGTGCTATGACATTCACCTTCACGACCTACATCATTCTCTCTCTACTGATTGGGGCTTCATGTGAGAGGTAAAGAGTTTAATTTATACAAGATTAATTCTTTCTGTAATTTTGAGAAAAGTCATTATCATTCCAAGAATTTTTTTTTTTTTTTTTTTTTTTTTTTTACCAAGGCAATAAAGTCATTGAGATGAAACTGGTTACTGAGTGCAAGGGAATATGAGAGAAAAAAAAACACCATTAAGGAGGGGGAACAATTAAAGAAGAAAGAATTAAAAAGACAGCAGATAACAATTAATATTACATTGACATTTTTGAAAATCAAAGTTGACTGAGAAGCAAGAAGAGAGTTCCACAAGTGAAAAATCTGATAGAAGAATCTGTTAGCATAGAACTTATGGTTACATCTAGTCATTTCAACTGTATTATAAGGCCTATCGGTCAATCTAGTACTGCACATAAATTCATAAGGCCTAGGTAGAATAGAGGAAAGTTCACCAGAACAATTAGCATGGAAATATTTATAGAAAAGACAAATGGAAGCTACATTTGGTCAGTGAGTAAGTGACTGAAGCCAAGATAAAAGGTCAGTAACGTGTAATATTGCTTATATTAGACAAGTAAATAAGATAAAAATATATTTACCTAGAGTAAAGCAAAGGTTTAATCCAAAATTCCTGGGATTCAACTATGAGACACCAGGAAGATACAGTGGATACAACAGCCAAGATAAGTATGTGTATATATATATATATATATATATATATATATATATAATGGTTAGCCACTCTCATTTTCCAACCACACCCATCTGCCAGGGCTGCTAGCCAATCCCTATTGCAGGTAACTGCTCAGGCACAGTTGTGTTTGCTCAACACATCAGAGCCCACCTGTGGTTTATGCTACAATGATACCAAGTTGACCTTAGCTATAATTTCTGGAAGAGAGTTCATAATTTGTCATGATCAGCAGTTGAATCATACCAGTACGCTTACACCCTTGGTCACAATAACTTGGGACCTTGTACTAGGCGTCCTGGGTATGATCATAAACTACATCCAACAGCAAGGCCTCTGATCAGGAGGTTTTGAGGTGCGTGGAACCAACTCTTAATTGCTGGTGTTCCCAGGTCCACCCTGACTCGGGGTGGTAGCACCTGTTAGGGTCCCAGCTATGGGCAAATAGTGAACTCCTTGTTTTTCCCAGATCTTACCCACATCCTGGGTATGACAATAAACTACATCCGCGTCCTGGGTATGGCGATAAACTACATCCGGCGTCCTGGGTATGACGATAAACTACGTCCAACAGCAAGGCCTCAGATAATGTTTTCGGAAAAATAATGTTGCCAGCTATAAATTTTTGGAAAAAATAATGTTGCCAGCTATACGTTTTTGAAAAAATAATGTTGCCAGCTATACGTTTTTGAAAAAATAATGATGCCAGCTATACGTTTTTGAAAAAATAATGTTGCCAGCTATACGTTTTTGAAAAAATAATGTTGCCAGCTATACGTTTTTGAAAAAATAATGTTGCCAGCTATACGTTTTTGAAAAAATTATGATGCCAGCTATACGTTTTTGAAAAAATTATGATGCCAGCTATACGTTTTTGAAAAAATTATGTTTACAAAGTATATATATTTAATATATATATGCAAACTGGATTTGGCATTAAATAACCCATAGTGGTTGATATGCCATAAAACCCCAAACAACCAATCAACCAACCTTGTACTAGGACAACTCTTGATGGCTTCCGAATAATTCTGTCTACCCAATTTCACTCACAAGGCTTGGATCATCCCATGGTGTGGTTTTCAGCCACTTCCCAAAAGTGTCACATGCTGGGATTGCCATCCCATGTCAGTAACATCAAAAAGTTTTCTTCCTGACAAATCAACCATGGTGTGATTCAAATCCAGGTCACATGATTGGAAAACAAATGTTCTTTAGTGATTAACTGCTTCAATAGTTAAATTTGTAAGGTTTCTTACGAACACATTTCGTAGCATGTGGAATAATGGTGATGTACAGAGTACATGTACGAAATAACACATCAATTGATTTGAAATGCAAGGATAACATTTATTAAAACAAAATTTACAAAAGGGTAGTTTAAAACATGATTTTCTTTTGTTAGACTTAAATTGTATACACAACAAAATGTTCATTCATGGAGGAACTTACTTTGTTCGTGTGTTTTATATGAAACATTCACAGCTCTTGTAGTATTAGCATGGAAAGTTCATGTCAGCAGTTCGAAAAGTTATTTTAGGGTTCATATGTTTTTATGTTGGAGAGCTGCTGCTGACATAAGGTTTATTTAGAGCTTCGAATGCTACTATCTATAATGTCACTACAGTTCTAAACACTCAGCCACATATATATTTATATGATAAAAATATAAATTAAGCTATGCTATATTTGTGAGTAAAAGTACTCAATATCAGGGACAGAGTGTGTAAATAGTGACAACAGTCTGTTTCATGCTTGAAAGTAAACTTCAATATGGATTCCCCTGTCCTCACCTTTTCTCTCCCTCCTTTGTTGATATTTAAATGAAAATGCAAATCTATTAACTTTATCATCTTCATTTAAATGAAGATGCAAATCTATTAATTTTATCATCATTTAGATGAAGATGCAAATCTATTAATTTTATCATCTTCAATTAAATACCATCAAGAAAGCTGAAAGTCTGAGTTAAAATACATTTTTAAAATAAATTCACACATATTCAATGAACACAGACAAAATGGATAAAATTCTATTTTATGCTCTTATATATCTCTCTCTCTCTCTCTCTCTCTATATATATATATATATATATATATATATAATCAAGTGGTAAGGATAATCCAAATAGGTTTTTAATAATATATATATATATATATATATATAAAATAATCAAGTGGTAAGGATAATCCAAATAGGTTTTTCTAATATATATATATATATATATATATATATATATATGTAATCAAGTGGTAAGGATAATCCAAATAGGTTTTCTAATATAAATATATATATATATAAAACTAGCAGTTAACCTATCTTAAAAATTACTTTACTGAGTTAAAATACATTTTTAAAATAAATTCATACATATTCAATGAACACAAATAAAATGGATAAAATTCTATTTTATGCTCTTATCTGTCTGTCTCTCTCTCTCTCTATATATATATATATATATATATATATATATATATATATATATATATGTATGTATGTATGTGTATGTATGTATGTATATATATAAAGTGGTAAAGATAATACAAATAAGTTTTTCTAATATATATATATATATATATATATATATATATATATATATATAAACCAGCAGTATAACCCATCTTTGACTGGGTCTTTCATTACTGGGAATTTTTGCCGGTCAGTTGGAGCAGTTTAAGTTTAAAGTCAGCCCACCCAAAAATCAGTATTAGTAATGATGTTTGGGTGCAACTGAGGTACATCCCCAAATGGCGCTTTGCATGTAACAATTTGAATGGGGGGGTGACCCTGAAAAGGGAACTGTATAATAATAAATAATATTATTGTAATAATTTAAACTATTTATTTTTATTAAAGTTTTTATGAGATGTATATATCCAAGAACAGATAGTAAATAGTAAAACATTACTGAGAGTTATAATTGACAGGAAGTAGTGGAGAGCCATTGTCACCAAAAACTGGCCCTGAAGAATTACCTTTCAAACAAAAAAATATTTCATCGAAATCTGATGAAAACTGTGGAAATGCATTAACAACATCCAATCACACACACACACGGACACACATACATTTTAAGATTTATAGATATAGATATTAAAAAGATATTCATGAAGAGAGCTCAATGTATCAAAATACAGAGCAATATCATAGACATCAAAGGAAAACTCTGGCCTGATGAGGCAGTTGTCTGTCTGAAATAAATTATTACCGAACTCTTTAATGATGTATTGAGTTTTCCTTTTGAGATATATATATATATATATATATATATATATATATATATATATAACTGCATTGTGTATTTGGGCAGCACTCTGTCTTTTATACAAGTTTCATCAAAAACGACTGACAACGTACTGCGGTTAATTTTTTTTATTTAATTTTTCATATGTTCTTATAATTTTCTTCTTTTCTGGACATAAATGATGTAGAAATTGTCCAAATGTTCTGTATGTCTAAGTGCTTTCGGCTGTACTTTTAGTCGTTGTCAAGGATGATTTTATTCATTTAACTCTGGATACAGACATAAAGCAAACCATATATTCAGCTAGAAGTAAAAATAAAATCATTAAACTCATAAAATTGAGTTAGAATTCCAATTGAGTTCAGTACATTCACTTATGTGCTAATAACCTTAGGAATGGTATGAATCCATCTCTTATCCCCGCCAGCCATGGGTAAATAGCAGGACAGACTACTTTCTGTAGCCTTAAATGGTAACCAGTCTAAGAGAAGGAAAACTCTGTATTCAAAACTGTATATAATCCTGACAAAGCACATACTATGCAGCTATCTCCATCTCTTCTCCCCCTAGCTATGGATAAATAGCTGGATCGACTGGGTCCTACAGCCTTGGGTGGCAACCGATCTAGGAGAAGGAAAACTTTGAATTCAAAACTGTACATAGGCATTGTGAAGCACATACTCTGCAGCTAAGGAAAGGATCAAAAGCTTTGGCTTGATGATTCCAACTATGGTCAACTTCTTAACAGACTGGGTTCTATAGCCTTGGGTGGCAACCGATCTAGGAGAAGGAAAACTCTGAATTCAAGACTGTAGGTATCCCTTGTGAAGCACATACTCTGCAGCTAAGAAAAGGATCAAATCTTTGGCTTGATGATTCCAACTATGGTAAACTTCTTAACAGACTGTGTTCTATAGCCTTGGATGGCAACCGATCTAGGAGAAGGAAAACTCTGAATTCAAGACTGTACGTAGTCATGGTGAAGCACATACTATGCAGCTAAAGAAAGGATTGACTCAATAATCTTGACTGTTATTGATCACAGAATAACAATAAACTGGAGTGGTGGGGTTAAAGAAAGTCCAGTGGAGGTAATCTGTTAATATTCTTTATTGTACCCCCACAAAGAGGAAAACATATGTTATTTGATAATGGTTAAAATCAGAAAATTTTTGATTTTTAATTCTTAAGAGTACTGTTTATTTTTTGCAGATTTCTTCTTCAAAATGACTATGTCGTTCTGCAAGCCATCAACATTTGGAAGCCATTTGTAGCCATTGGAATATTTGCTGCCACCTTGTCTGCTGCTCTGGGTAATCTCATAGGAGGATCCAGAGTCTTGGAGAAACTAGCTAATGATCATCTTTTCTGTAAGTACCAAAACTCATGTAACCTAATTTTTTTTTTTTTTTTTTTTTTTTTGTTAGTTGTTAAGATATAAAAGCACTTTGTTTTTTTTTTTGTTTGTTTTTTTTTGTTTATTTTTTTTTGTTTTTTCTGACATTCTGCAACAACAAAAGGAGATCTATATTCATTTCTTATATTGATTGGATAGGTTATCTTCACCTTTATTGCCATATTCACAACGTTTCAGCCTTCTTCAGGTAACATGGTCAATAAAAGCATTGGTTAAGTGATCCGAAAGAACCCCCCCTTTTTTTTAATCAATCATTTCACCCTCAAGCAAGGTAGAAATGCCACCAGTACACAGGGGGTTACAGGGAGTGAAAGTAAGAAAGCATTAAGAAAAGGACAAAAGATGAATGGCATTCAAGAAGATGGAAGATGGCAATTGATGTTGCATTTAAGCTTTTGAAGATTGTAATTATCAGGGAAGCAAGTAAACGGAAGGGAGTTCCACAGGCACTAAGTGTGAGAAAAGAAACTGTTGGAGTAGAAGTGGTGGTTTCATTTAACTAATTCAACAGTAAAATGGTGGGACCTGGACGCCAATCTAGTAGCATGCTTAAATTCATGCAGTCTGGGCCCCAGGGAAAAACTTGACTCAAAGCATTGTGAGTTCAATACCTGGCCAAAGCAGAAGGGACAAAAACTTGGAGAGTTGAGTTAACAAGGTAAATTAACTGAAACTGAAATATTCAAAAAAAGGCATGGCATGTGGAATTAGAACAATCTACCACCCATAGACTAAATAAAGAGCTCAGTTCAAAATTCCAACTGATATCACCTGACAAAGACTGGAGCATACAATGGCTGAAACATTGTGAATATAGCAGTGATAAGGACAACAGTCGACTGGTGTAAATAGTTACAATACTTCATCTCGTAGACACAATTACACATGTTCTTTTATGTCATAAATCTGCACTCCAGATTTTTTCAAATATCTCCTTTCCTAAAAGAAATACTCCTTTCTCAAACCAACATCCATTACTATAAGAATATTAAAATATTAAATGAAAACGGTTAAATTCAAACCTTTCTGTGATTTAAAATATAAAAAAATTAAATTATATCACTTAGCATCTTCCAGAGTTTACCTTGACTTTCAGGTTAGCCTGAAATATTCATGAATGTTCTTAAATTAAAAATTCTGAAAATCTAACACCATTTTGACTCCTGTGTTTAAATTCTTTTGACAAAATAAAATCCTTACATTTCCTTATCGGGATCATTAGCCTAAATTTCTAACATATTGTCATCACAGAGAACGCATGCTTAAAAAAAAATGTCTTTCACTTATTTTCTACCCATATTGTCTCATTTCTTTAGGGTTTCTTCTGAATCCAGCCAAAATAACTACCAAAGGTGGAAACCCATACGTTGCAGTCCTTATCACCTGGGTATTTGTCCAGGTAAGTTACGTGACCTAAATTTTTACCTTTCCTTTTCCTGGAAAGATTATTGATTTGATTTTTGTATTTTTATGGCTTATCAACCCCTTGGATGTTCAAGTGGGGTAATGAATAGTGCTTTGGAATGGAAAATTGAAGAGATTATTTGAAATTCTAGTCAAGTTCGTTATATTCACTAATGTGCAAATATCCTCAGGAGAGGTATAAATCCATCTTCTCCTCCTTGCTATGGGTTAAATAGTAGGACTTGTATCTTGAAAGTAATTGTTATTTTTTTTCTAAATTGTTAGTGCAATATTCACTCACAAAAAAGGGATTATCTTTATGATAAAAAATGTTAAAACCATAAAATGTTGATAAAATAAAAAGAAAAGATTTTTTTTCATAATGATTTTAAGGTGATGGTGAAAAAAAAGTTAGTCTGAAGCCCTGATTTAATTAGATAAATCTCAATATCTGTCTATATCACTGAGATGAGGTATTATTATTATTTACATTATTTGAACTGTTATTCTCATCTTCATTGCCACATTCACAACGTTTTTGGCTATTGTACCATTAGTTCTAGTGACTAGACCAAAAGAGTTATGAGTTCAATACCAGGCTACAGCAGTGGTAACCAAAAAAACTTGGGTAGTTGAGTTAAAGGGAAATAACTGAAACATCTGGAAGAGACATGTGAAACTAGAACAATCTATTCCGGTAGACAAAATAAAGGGTTCGGTTCGAAATTCCAATCACCTGAAGAAGGCTGAAGTGTACAACTACCGAAATGTTGTGAATATGGCAATGAAGATGAGAATATCAGTCTGAATAATGTTAATAATTAGATAAATCTATTATTATAATAAAAATAAAATGTACTTAACTAAGTATGACATAAGGACACTAAAATGAGGTCACCATGTCCAACTACATGCCAGTGGTCTGCAACGTGACATTGTTAACCATCACTCTGTTGCAAGATATTTACTAAATTCAGATTACTCTATCACAGAAGAATATTTGATCATTAGTTGGTCATTAATATACCAACAGAATAGGTCCATTTTAGTGTTGCCTCTTTCAACTTTCTCACTCTCCAGCAGTACTCCTCATCAAATAAACTGGGCTTATCCAATCAGTATCTTAGCACCAGTTGTAACTTTTGGGGTAAGTATCCAAATGGAAGTTCATTCAAGAAAATAGCAGTTCTTTGGGAAAAGCTTTCGAAGTGTAATACCTTTTTTATCAAGAGAATATGCAGGGTATTGGGGCGATTCTGCACTGTGCACATAACACAACAGGTCTTGGCTGTAAAGGGCTGAGCTGTCAAAACAATTTCTGTAACATCTTTCAGTTATTTTTCTTTAACAAGATATCGGTTGATATTGATAATTGTTATGTCTCTCTCTCTCTCTCTTTTAAAACATATATATATATATATATATACACACCCCACGCTGGCAGTACAACTCAAGAGTTTCATAATTTATGCAATCATGAAACTCCAAGTTGTACTGTCAGTGTGGGGTATTATGTATATTTATTAATATAGAGCTTAATAGCTCTGTTTTTTTGCATTGATCTCTGTTTTATTTACACCAAAGAAGATATATATATATATATATATATATATATATATATATATATATTTGAACACTTACACATTTGAGTACATTTGATATATATATATATATATATATATATATATATATATATATTTTTTGAACACTTACACATTTGAGTACATTTGCTATATATATATATATATATTTTGAACAATTACACATTTGAGTACATTTGATATATATATATATATATATATATATATATTTTGAATACTTACACATTTGAGTATATTCATATATATATATATATATATATATATTTATTTGAATACTTACACATTTGAGTATATTCATATATATATATATATATATATATATATATATATATACATATACACATAATAGCTGGCAACTTGTATTCTAGGATACCTGTCTACTAGGGCAGCTAGCAATCTCTATTGCAGACGCTCGCTCAGGCTCATTTGTATTTGTCCAACACCCACATGTTACCTAGAATGATCAACAGTCTGAACAACACCAGCACACTCAAAATCTCGGTCAGTACTTTGATGAGATTGATTGATTTTTCATGGCATTTAAAAGCAAAATGTAATTTAGATTTTCTTTTTTGAAAGTGAATATTGCATCAACAATTTTTTTTCAGATACAACTCTTATTGTTTAACCAGTAGCTGGGTGGGGGGGAGACCATGTATTCTACCTTTCCCAAGGGTATTTGCATGTAAGTGAATATAATTTGAACTTTGATGGGAACATCAATTACTCTAAGCAGGGTATGAGTAAATCCTAACAAAAAAGAAATACCATCATTTAAATACAAGGAAGTGACAAAAGGACAGTGGCTTGTACAACAAAAAATGTCACTGTCGACAGCAAGGAGATAGTGTCTCTAAAAATGAGGCACTTCATCTTTGACTAATAATTGTGCTACGTTAATTTTGATTGATACTGAAAACATTCTGATTACTAAATCTAAGCATTTGACAATTTTCATTCGATGAGGACAAGAATCTGTCTTGCTCTGACCTCTCACGCTCATTTAAGGACGATTTACGGCATAAAGATCATCTGGGGAAATAAGTATATTTTTTACGCTTAGGGATAAAAGCCAAAGAATAGATTCCTTAAAACATTATCTTAAGAACTTCAAGAAAATGGAAAAGTTTGATTTGAAATGTTAAAAATCTTCCTCAAAGTTATAGTCAATGAGATTTGAAGTTCTGGATGACAGAAATTGGCATTTTATTCCCCGATGAATTTTCTCCTCCAAGTAATCTTTATTGAATTGAAAGACACAAGGATTGGAAAATAATTCCATTTCATAACCTCTCTTGGTGTCGCAGTAGAAGTTTTTGAATGAAGTGATGAGTTTTAGATGAAATATGGTCTTCAGCAAAACTCTAAAGAACTTATATCTTAGCAGTTAAAGCAGTTGGTCATTTTAGCAATCTTCTCTGAGGGAAAAGGGACTGAGGTTCAAACCTGACTGGAGGATTATATTCTGGGCTGTCTACTCACTATTGTAAATTGACAGACTGAATAGAAGTCGCAATAAACAGAAAATAATGAAGATGAAAGTAAATGCTAGTCAAAAATTAATAATGGCTGACAATGCTTCATTTAATAAAAAATGAAGGTGAAAGTAAATGCTAGTCAAAAATTAATAATAATGGCTGACAATGCTTCATTTAATAAAAAGTGAAGATGAAAGTAAATGCTCGTCAAAAATTAATAATGGCTGACAATGCTTCATTTAATAAAAAATGAAGGTGAAAGTAAATGCTAGTCAAAAATTAGTAATAATGGCTGACAATGCTTCATTTAATAAAAAGTGAAGATGAAAGTAAATGCTCGTCAAAAATTAATAATGGCTGACAATGCTTCATTTAATAAAAATGAAGGTGAAAGTAAATGCTAGTCAAAAATTAAATAATAAAAAAAAGTGAAGATGAAAGTAAATGCAAAAATTAATAATGGCTTCATTTAATAAAAAATGAAGATGAAAGTAAATGCTAGTCAAAAATTAATAATAATGGCTGACAATGCTTCATTTAATAAGAAGTGAAGATGAAAGTAAATGCTAGTCAAAATTAATAATGGCTGACAATGCTTCATTTAATAAAAAGTGAAGATGAAAGTAAATGCTCGTCAAAAATTAATAATGGCTGACAATGCTTCATTTAATAAAAAATGAAGATGAAAGTAAATGCTAGTCAAAAATTAATAATAATGGCTGACAATGCTTCATTTAATAAGAAGTGAAGATGAAAGTAAATGCTAGTCAAAAATTAATAATGGCTGACAATGCTTCATTTAATAAAAAGTGAAGATGAAAGTAAATGCTAGTCAAAAATTAATAATGGCTGACAATGCTTCATTTAATAAAAAAATGAAGGTGAAAGTAAATGCTAGTCAAAATTAATAATAATGGCTGACAATGCTTCATTTAATAAAAAAAGTGAAGATGAAAGTAAATGCTCGTCAAAAAATTAATAATGGCTGACAATGCTTCATTTAATAAAAATGAAGATGAAAGTAAATGCTAGTCAAAATTAATAATAATGGCTGACAATGCTTCATTTAATAAGAAGTGAAGATGAAAGTAAATGCTAGTCAAAAATTAATAATGGCTGACAATGCTTCATTTAATAAAAAGTGAAGATGAAAGTAAATGCTCGTCAAAAATTAATAATGGCTGACAATGCTTCATTTAATAAAAAATGAAGATGAAAGTAAATGCTAGTCAAAAATTAATAATAATGGCTGACAATGCTTCATTTAATAAGAAGTGAAGATGAAAGTAAATGCTAGTCAAAAATTAATAATGGCTGACAATGCTTTATTTAATAAAAAGTGAAGATGAAAGTAAATGCTCGTCAAAAATTAATAATGGCTGACAATGCTTCATTTAATAAAAATGAAGGTGAAAGTAAATGCTAGTCAAAAATTAATAATAATGGCTGACAATGCTTCATCTAATAAAAAATGAAGATGAAAGTAAATGCTAGTCAAAAATTAATAATGGCTGACAATGCTTCATTTAATAAAAAGTGAAGATGAAAGTAAATGCTAGTCAAAAATTAATAATGGCTGACAATGCTTCATTTAATAAAAAATGAAGGTGAAAGTAAATGCTAGTCAAAAATTAATAATAATGGCTGACAATGCTTCATTTAATAAAAAGTGAAGATGAAAGTAAATGCTCGTTAAAAATTAATAATGGCTGACAATGCTTCATTTAATAAAAAATGAAGGTGAAAGTAAATGCTAGTCAAAAATTAATAATAATGGCTGACAATGCTTCATTTAATAAAAAGTGAAGATGAAAGTAAATGCTCGTCAAAAATTAATAATGGCTGACAATGCTTCATTTAATAAAAAAATGAAGGTGAAAGTAAATGCTAGTCAAAAATTAATAATAATGGCTGACAATGCATCATTTAATAAAAAATGGAGATGAAAGTAAATGCTAGTCAAAAATTAATAATGGCTGACAATGCTTCATTTAATAAAAAGTGAAGATGAAAGTAAATGCTCGTCAAAAATTAATAATGGCTGACAATGCTTCATTTAATAAAAAATGAAGATGAAAGTAAATGCTCGTCAAAAATTAATAATGGCTGACAATGCTTCATTTAATAAAAAATGAAGATGAAAGTAAATGCTACTCAAAAATTAATAATGGCTGACAATGCTTCATTTAATAAAAAATGGTGAAAGTAAATGCTAGTCAAAAATTAATAATAATGGCTGACAATGCTTCATTTAATAAGAAGTGAAGATGAAAGTAAATGCTCGTCAAAAATTAATAATGGCTGACAATGCTTCATTTAATAAAAAATGAAGGTGAAAGTAAATACTAGTCAAAAATTAATAATAATGGCTGACAATGCTTCATTTAATAAAAAGTGAAGATGAAAGTAAATGCTCGTCAAAAATTAATAATGGCTGACAATGCTTCATTTAATAAAAAGTGAAGATGAAAGTAAATGCTAGTCAAATATTAATAATAATGGCTGACAATGCTTCATTTAATAAAAAGTGAAGATGAAAGTAAATGCTAGTCAAAAATGAATAATGGCTGACAATGCTTCATTTAATAAAAAATGAAGATGAAAGTAAATGCTAGTCAAAAATTAATAATGGCTGACAATGCTTCATTTAATAAAAAGTGAAGATGAAAGTAAATGCTTGTCAAAAATTAATAATGGCTGACAATGCTTCATTTAATAAAAAATGAAGATGAAAGTAAATGCTAGTCAAAAATTAATAATAATGGCTGACAATGCTTCATTTAATAAAAAGTGAAGATGAAAGTAAATGCTAGTCAAAAATTAATAATGGCTGACAATGCTTCATTTAATAAAAAGTGAAGATGAAAGTAAATGCTAGTCAAAAATTAATAATAATGGTTAACAATGCTTGATCTAATAAAATTAACAATATTCTCTCTTCCTATTTTGCCAATCTTTTAATTTTTTCTTTCATTTATTTTTTATTTTTTCTTAGCTTGTCTTACTGATTGGATCCTTAAATGCCATTGCACCCTTCACATCTATTAGTTTTCTCATGTCTTATGCTTCTACCAATTTGGCCTGTCTGGGACTTGATGTTGCCTCGGCACCAAACTTCAGGTAATACGCTTTCTCACAAAATCCTCTTTCTTTATTTTTCTTTTTTTTTTCTTTTTTTTTTTTAAATTCCACATACGTTCTGCAAATTTGAATTCATAGATTATCTGTGAAATGCCATGCATTCTTCTGAAATATAGTGGAATGGTTTCCCATAGCTTTCTCTACAGATTCTTTTTTTTTATATCTGTGAAAAGCTATCTTCTTTTAAGAGATGGCAGCATGGCTTCACTTTGCCTTCTCCACAGTTTGGAATTGACTGTCTCTTAAACTAGCTTCCATCCAAAGCTAGAAAACCCAATCTTCTCTGCTATTTAATCTATAGCTATAGAGGACAGAAAAGGTTTCATACATAACACTTTGTGTATGTGATTCTGTTTTGGAGATCGCTAGCTTCTAGATCTGTGCACTGCAAACTACTGACATGCAGATCTGTCCAACAGAATTGAGTGGAAAGTTGTAGAACTCTCTAGAATCTTCTAATCGTATTGCTATATAAAAAAATGCCGGTGAAGCAGTTTGATGGTCTTTTTGCCTTTGTCCTCATCCATCATACACTGTTGGAAAGACAGTTAATTAACCTATTTGGATTATCGTTGTGCTTTCTCCATAAGTGAACGAGAGAAACATAACAGATTCACACTGGGAAATACCAGAGATCCACATCAGATTTAACACCTCTCAAGAACCTTGATCTAAGAAGGTTTCTTCTCTGGTGAGTCCAATATGTACTGGGTTCACTCTGAGATAGTAAAGTAAGATTTGTACTCAGTGTCACCTCAGAATGTCAAAAAAACTAGGAGCTTCAGTTGACCTTGAAGGTGAGCTTAAATCCACAATATGCCAAATCGGGCTTCAAAGAATATCCGTGGGTGCACCAACGTAAACTAGGAAATGAATCCAGCTGAATTTGGGATATGTACACCCAAGATAACCAGATGACAAGCAGTTATATAAACAAACCACATACAAGGAAAGAGACAGAATTGCTGATAGCCTCACAGAAGAAAGAATGTTTGAAAAAAACCACATAGTGTTGATTTAGGTGACATTAATTTGATGGTGGCCAAAAGTGAATAAACATTTATTTTATGTATGAAAATTTTAGTATCTGTCTATATTTCTGAGATGAGGTATTATGCATACTGTTCATATTATTCGGACTATTCTCCTCAACTTTTTTGCTATATTTATCACAACGTTTCAGCTGTTGTATGCTTCGGCCTTCTTCAGGTGGTTGGAATGTCACAGTGGATAAAAGCATTGGTTAAATCTAATGACAGGACCCACAGAGATGTGAGTTCAATACCTGGTTAAGGCAGTGGAGAACTTGGAGAGTTGAATTAACAGGAGATAACTGATAATTGACATCCATTAGACATGGCACGTGGAACTAGAACAGTCTACCCCAGCAAGCGAAATAAAGGGTTCAGTTGGATATTCCAACCACCTGAAGAATGTCGGAGTGTACAACGGCCGAAACGTTGTGATAAATATGGCAACAAAGATGAGTACAATAGTCTGAATAATGTAAATAATGAAAATTTTAGTTTCATATTCGTATCTGGCTTCTTTAATATAACATTGCACACTTAATGTCTACCCTTTGTAAACTTACCAGTTTTCTAGTTTTGTCTTAGCAAATTTCAACATTTTGTTGGGTAGTCTTTCAAGAGATTAAAAAAAAAAACTTTATTCATCATTTTGTAAGGCTAGTTTTGTCTTTGCAACTTCCAACATCTTGTTCTAATAGTTTTTCAAGATATTAAAAAAAATTTTACAGATCATGACAGCTATTACGGAGATGTGGTTAAATATACTTTAATGCTTAAAACAAATTTATTCAATATTATTGTTTGTGTAATAAGCCTTATAACAAAGTACAAATAGATTTATTGTGGAAAAATAAGTGAAATTACCTGCCTTTTAGGGGTTGTGGTCAGACATGGAAGACTGCCATGTTTTTTTTTTTTTTTCAAGGCCACTCCAAGCACTATTAATTAATTTAAAATTATACATTAATTACTAATTTTTTTAATTAATAATTATTTCGTTGTTGGCATTAATAGCTATCTGCTGATATTTTAAAATTTTGGAATAATGCGATAATAAAAAATTTAAATTCCATCTCTCTGATATATGTTGCGATCTGTTAATTAAGAATTTAATCATAGCATTTTAATTTATATATTTCATTTATTTTTTTTTTTTAAATTTCCTCCCATCTCCCTCCCTTCTCTGCTTGTTTCCCCTTAATTGTTAAAAGAACAATCTGTTAAGTGTCTCCCCATCCCAACTTCAACACAACCATGCCTTATTTTCCTTCAATTGACAAATCGACTATGGTGAGAATTGAACCTGAGTTTCTGGGTCAGAAATCTAACTAACAACTAAAATCAGATTTCATTCAGCTTCGAAAAATGGCAAAAAGTGATTAAGAGTAAGATTTCTAGGTTTTTCATTTTACAGGTCATGTCGGCTATTAGGGAGATGTAATTAAATATACTTTAACCAAAAGCCACTCTAATACTCTCGTTCCAATATCATTGTACGCATTTTTACTTATTTATGGTTATTTATCCAGTGTAAAATATATATGGTCGCTCCTTGTCATGATAGAGGGCTTACTTGTTACAGTAACCCCAAGAGCAAAGCCGCCTCGAGATCTAACTCCTGTAGGACAACCCATGCCAGTAAGGTTGAACAGGAAGGACCAGACTGAATGCGACCAAACCCTGAACACCCCCAGGGCGGAATAGGCAAAGATCTACATATAACCTTGTCTGGGTTTCTCTCTTTCCGAAGTCAGAGAGTTTGATGTCTTGATGCTTGCTCAAGCCTAAGCTGGAAAGCAAACCCCTTACATTAACATTATTATCTAATAATGTGGATTGTATCTCTTCATATTATTAATATACTTTAACCAAGGGACACTCTAATACTCTCGTTCCAATATCATTATTCTTCATTAAAATGGCTTCTCTTTGCATCTCCTGGCGAGTGTAGGCTCTCTCAAAATTTTAGACCCATGCCAAATAACCCATCTTTTATGGTTGATGATGTCCCTAACATTGAAATGATAATTACTGATACTTTCTTGTTTGTTATCAGATAATGTCAGCTATTAGGGAGATGTGATTAAAATATACTTTAATGATTAAAAAAGATTTATTCATTATTATTATTGTTTAGGTAATAAGCATTATAACATAGCACAAATAGCTATATTGTGAAAAAAGGAATTTTTCAATAATATCTTCATTTTTTACGTATTTATGGTTATTTTTTAACTTTTATCAAAAACAAATTTCTTGTACATATAGTTATGGATAATATTATACATTAATTACTAATTTTTTTTTTAATTAATAACTATTTGTGCTCAGTTGTAGGCATTAATAGCCATCTGCTGACGTATTAAAATTTTGGAATAATGCAATAAAAATTTAAATTCCATCTCTCTGATAGATCTGTAAATAATTCAAAATTTCGTAAATATAAAGTCAAATTTATTCTCTGTTTGATTTCTAATCTGAATGTGTTTTGTATTATTGTAGGCCAACCTTCAAGTACTTTAGCTGGCACACCTGTCTTCTGGGTATGATTGGCGCCATGATCATGTGCTTCTATATCAGCGCTTTGTACACATCCGTTTCCATTGTTCTCATGCTGGTACTGATTATTGTTCTGCATATCCGATCCATGCCGACTTCTTGGGGTTCCATCAGCCAAGCTCTCATCTTCCATCAGGTCCGGAAATACCTCCTCATGTTAGACAGCCGCAAAGATCACGTCAAATATTGGCGACCCCAGATTCTTCTCATGGTTGCTCACCCTCGCCAGTCCTGTGAACTTCTTGATTACATTAATGACGTTAAAAAGGGGGGGCTTTACATCATTGGCCATGTCAAGATCGGGTCCCTCAACAACTATGTAAGCGATCCAATTCAAGACGACATTCCAAAATGGTTGGCGTTGATTGATTATCTGAAAATCAAGGCTTTCCCAGAAGTGACTATGGCACGTACTGTCTCCGAGGGCCTCATTCATCTGATCCGGATTTCAGGTCTTGGAGGAATGAAGCCAAACACTGTGTGTCTTGGATTCTATGATGATGCCACTCCTACAGATGGTCTCTTGAAAACGCGTGTTCGTTATCGCCGTTTCTTTGGTGCCGTCGAAAACGGATGCACGCATGAATTAGAGAACAACTTCGGAGACATCAGGATTGACCCCGAGGATCGGACAATATCAGCACCAGGTGAATATGTCAGTTTTGTCCGTGATACACTCAAGCTGATGAAGAATGTATGTCTGTGTCGAAACTTTAACCAATTAGATAAGCGTGCTATCTTCTGCAGCAAATCTGAGCAGTATATCGATGTGTGGCCATTAAACTTTTTCCAACCGGAAACATCCAACTACTTCGACAATACCTGCCTTTACCTGCTGCAGCTCGCCTGCATCCAGCACATGGTTCCTGCGTGGAAATGTTGCACCAAGTTGCGAGTGTTCCTCTGTGTTGACACGCAGAACGATAACACATTGGAGAAAGAGGAGAAGCTTGATGACTTCCTTCGACAACTGCGCATCCTGGCTCGGATCAAGATCGTCACATGGGATGATATCTTGGACCATTATCGCAGCATAGAACACCTGCAGGAAACATCTGAGGAGACAATGCATGAGTATTATTCACTAGATGATAAGACTTTGGCTATGATTAATCAGTTGGTCTTATCTCACTCCACCTCAACAGTAACGACATTTCTCTACCTACCTTCTCCACCCAAAGATGTACAATTGTACCCCGAATATTTATGTCAGTTGACGGCCCTTTCCGAGGGTCTTCCACCTACTATGTTTGTACATGGTTTACACCCTGTAACATCAACAACCTTGTGATTATGTTTTCATCTGTCAATTTGAAAAAAAAAAAAATTTAATACTAAATAATTTTTTTAAAGTGGAAAACAAACCAATTTTAGTGTTCTTTTAGGAAAGCGAAACATATTGGAAAAGTAACGTTTTAAGCATAATGTTTTCATAAGCATACACATACACACGCATGCATAATGCATCCATGTGTATGTGTCTCTCGATATAAACACATATAGTGTGTCGCAAAACTTTAAACTCTGGTGAATGTTTCCAAAGTAATTTTTTTTTTGTTCTAATTGAAGTCTTGCAAATTCTCGTCAGCATTGTTTGTAGTTGTTATCTTTTTTTTTATTTTTGAAAAGCTAGATGCTTCGATTTTTTTTTTTTCTGTGACTAAAGGCTGATATCTTAATCTTTCCTCTGACAGTCACCATATGAACTTGAACCCTGTTTCTTCCTTTCAGATGAGCCATGAACTGATTGCTGTTTGCCACATTGCTCTAAAATCTCCCCTCTCATCATACTTAAACAAAGTCTTCACTCCCCAACTTTCTAGATCATGCAAAAAAAAAAAAATTTTATCCCGACTGTCTGACTTTGTTTAATCTGCTCAACTCTTGCGCATTACAATAACCCCTGATCTTGAAATTTAACAATTTCAAAATTCTACAGTCTTGGTCTCTTTTCAATACTGTCTGAACTTGATACCATTTTGGCCATCAGCAGAAACTGATAAATTGAATTTTGACCATTTACATTATTTACATTATTCAGACTGTTATCCTCATCTTCATTGCCATATTCATAACGTTTCAGCTGTTGTACACTCTGACCTTCTTCAGTGAGTTCAATGCCATTTTTGTGAGTTCAATACCTGGCAACAGCAATTGTGAACCAAAAAAAAAAACTTGGAGAGTTCAGTTAAAAGGAAATAATTAAGACATCTGGAAGAGGCATGGCACATGGAACTAGAACAATCTACCCCAGTGGACATTTGTAACCCAAATATTTATGTCAGTTGACAGCCCTCAACTTTGCTGCCAAGATGCATCTTTTTTATATATATATATATATATATATATATATATATATATTATATTTATATATATATATATATATATATATATATATATATAATATATATATATATATCACTCACAAGGCTAGTATGGTTTCAGACATTTTTTGCTTTATTAATGCCAACACTCACTGTGTGGTATTTTATATATATATATGGTATTATAGGGTTTTGTTCATTAATATTTGTGGTATTTATATATATATATATATATATATATATATATATATATATATATATATATATATATATATATATGTTTTTAAATTAAGTACATTGCCTGATCCAGGGACTGAACTCACAAACTCTATGTCAACAAATTCAGAAATCAACACATTCACTCCTGCACAATATGTGATAAAATCAACGAGAACAATAGTCAGAATATAAATAGTGAATTACTTTTAGTTTTTACTTGAGGGGTTCGGTTCGAAATTCCAATCACCTGAAGAAGGCCAGAGTATACAACAGCTGAAATGTTGTGAATATGGCAATGAAGATGAGGATAACAGTCCAAATAATGTAAATAATCATAGTACCTCATCTTGGCAATATACACAAATATTGAATTTTCACCGTTTATAATGTGTAAATTGTCAACATGTTTAAAGTTTAGTGGCAACGAAAATTTTCCTTTAAAACTATACCCCATGATAACTCCCTGACACTTTGCTATCAGAAAATGTTTACAAAAGGAACAAGTAATAACATTATGAATTATATGAATTTCTTTTAATTTTTGCCTGAATTTCTGGGATGAGGAGTTATCATTACATACACTATTTATATTCAGACTATTGTCTTCATCTTTGTTGTTTTTATCACAACATTTTGGCTGTTGTGTCCTCCAGGATTCCTCAAGTGTATATCGTTCTGGGTAACCTACAGGGAATTCTGAACTGAACCCTTTATTTAACCAATGAGGATAGACTGTCCTCATTACACTGCTCATGTCTAGGGATATCATTTTTGGTTCCTGTTTTTATTTAGCTCTGTTCAGTTAATGCGCTCCTGTTTCCACTGAATGTAAGTACACATTGCCTGATCCAGGGGCTGAACTCACAAAATCTATGTCAACAAATTCACTAATCAATATATTCATTCCTGAATGAAATGTGATAAAATCAACGAAAATGAGGACAATAGTCAGAATATAAGTAGAGAATTACTTTTAGTCGAGTATTGAAATTATTCAAAATTTTCACCTGAGTTTAAAGTTTTATTTACTGTATATGTGCATACATACACATAAAACACACACACACACACACATACACGCACACATATATATACATAACAATATGTATATCTTTGTATATAAATATAAACTAGTCATCTCCAAAGATGTGCATTTCTTTTTGTTTTGTTTTGTTTTGTTTTTTTTTTAGTTTTAATTTAATTTTGATTTTTTTATTTTATCTATTTTAGTTTAATTTTTTATTTTGTATTGCCCGGTTCACACTCTTCCCCCATCATTTAAACAGGAGTAGTAGATGCGTTTCAACTAAAAATAAGGTTAAAATGAAAATATATATTACAAGCTTTGTTAAAGACAACAGACACCTTTAGTTTATTATATTTTTTAAAGTTTTTCTTGATGGTGGATTAGTTTCCGTCTGTTGGTGTTGAAGGTGTAATGTGACTGTCCGCAGTTCATATTAGTTAAGATTTTGAGGTTTCATCTACTTTCAGTCATTCTGGAAAAAAAGCGAGAAATGAGACAGAATTCACTGTTTGTCCTGTGGTTTCCATCTTTGTAATTATTTTGGGTTTTGATGTTTTAGTGTTGTCAACCAAATTTGACTTTATTCTTTGAGTTTTGAAACTATGGTGTCATATGACCATGACATAGTGTGCATTGCAATAATTTAAATACACTTCAGAATGCTTTTCCAGAATCATGGGTGATTCTGCTGATTTCAAAACTCCACAAATAACATCTTGCACTAAGATACAAACTGCCACGCAGACTTTGAATTTCATCAGATTTCTATCTTTCTTGATAATGACTGAAGTCTGTCAAAAGGCTAAATGATTAACATGAACTAGCACTAACAGCAGACAGATCCTTTATACAAAGATATGCAAACTAATCCACCCTTTTACTGCCGAAACAGTTAAATGTAACCACCTCTTCTACTCAAACAGCTTCTTCTCTTGCACTTCCTAACAGTGGAACTCCCTTCCTCTTATTTGCTTCCCTGATAACTATAATCTTTAAATATTCAAAAGTAATGTCAATCAACATCTTCTGATGCCTTGATCCCCATTCTTTTTATTATCCTCCTCCCGGTCATCTTTTTAACCTTTCCTCAACCCTCTACACTCTCTGTCGGCCCTTGCATACTAGTTGCACTCTTGCCTTGCTTGGGGTGAAATGCCTAAAAAAAAAACAAAAAAAAACAAGAAGTAAAATTTAAGTCAAAATAACTTGGATGTTGTCTTTAACAAAACTTTTTTTGAATAAAACTTTGCTGCCATGATGCATCTTTATATATATATATATATATATATATATATAATCTTGCCATCAAGACTAGTATGGTTTCAGACACTTTTGCTTTACTAATACTCACTGTGTGGTATTTTATATATATATATATATATATATATATATTATTTTTTTGTTTAAAAATATTATTCCTTTGCTACATAAGAGTTCTCATTCTCGTTCCTAAATTTTCGCTTGAAGATGAAACAGGACTAAACACCTTAATTCAACTTAATTTTAATAATTATTTGGATGGTTTCGGCCCTCGTATTTGAAACATGAGAACTCTTATGTAGCGAAGGAATCATATTTTTAAACAAAAAAATATTATAAGCTCTACTTCTGTATGGAGCACTGTCTTCTTAAAAATAAAAACAAAAATACTAAGGAACTCCGGATTATGCACCCAACGTGTTCTTTTCTATTTTCTGCATACCTACGCACTTATACATTTTATATATATATATATATATATATATATATATATATATATATATATATATATATATATATATATATAGGGTTTTGTTCATTTTATTAAGTAGAAAATTTATAAACTGAACAAACTTTTTATCCAATACAATGTGTATATATATAATGTGTGTGTGTATATACATATATATTTCACACACGTTTGTATTTCATGGTCTGTGACTGCTTTAGTTTGCTCCTCAAGGCAGGAAGGATGCTAGAAGTCATACATAATGTAACTAGAAAAATGGAACTGACTTCATTTTAAGTGTCTAACAACCAGTTCTGTCAAAGCAAAGACCGATTAAATCATAAACATGATCGGTATAAAACTTGGTTGTGCATATGCTTGTCACATTTTATAAAAACATAACAGTATATGTGGATCTATCTTCAGGATAGAGAACACCGTATTAAAAAAATACAGCAATATCCTGTATTTAAATTGAATTACATTTTAGTTGCGTAATTAATCATCTATGGCCCTTGTGTATGTATGTATCAGAATTTGTCTTAGTCATTCAAGATTTACCTACATCCACACACACACATATATATATAATATATATATATATATATATAAAAGTGAACATTGAAATCAACACTCAGAGGTGAAAGTCTGTTTCATGCTAGACACAATTGTCAGGCCACGTATTCTGGCCTAACGATTCCGTCTAGCATAAAACAGCCTGTCACTTCTGAGTATTGACTTCAATGTTCATTTTTATATTTATATTTACAAATGATCTATCTCTATAATTGAGAACATTCTCCCATAAATATAGCACACCTTAAACCTATATTTCATCATATATATATATATATATATATATATATATATTCAAATGTATATTGTTAAATATAACAGATAATGAATATCTATTATGTTTGATCATGAGCCATTCTAAGCTTTGTATAGTGGCTTTAGTTTTGGGAGAAAATAAAGGCAAAAAACTCTCCAACATTAGGATATTTTTTATTATG